CAGTTGTGAATTGAGTCCACTCAAGTATCTGCTGAACAAAACTCCACATTGGCGACAGGAAAGGCATCCGGCCATTAGAACAATCTGCTAGCTCCTTTCAGTTGCCCAGACTCCACCCCGCAAGGGATTATGGGATCATTAAAAGAGGTTGATGATGATATACCTTGAAAGTGAAAGTGAAATAAGAGAAGCAAACATTATTAGCTCTGCAATTCATCTACTGGTTTCCCACTCAAGGTATATGACCGATGGTATGTTACTGCGTGAAGCGATGAACGACCCTCTGCTCGAACGTTATGGGGTAATCATTCTTGATGAGGCCCACGAAAGAACGCTGGCTACGGATATTTTGATGGGTGTTCTGAAGGAGGTGGTGAGGCAGAGGTCTGATTTAAAGGTCAGTGGAATATATCAAGCCGGAGTGGGGGGGGAGGGGGTGTTTGATGCAGAAAAAAGAAAAATGTGTTTTGTTTCAAGTCTGAAACAAGCTATCGGGTTGAGAAAAAAATTGGCTGCTGAGACCCCTTAGATTGCGCCTGGATGGTTCTGACTCCCAAAGTCATTTAACAGAATAACAGAGGTGGAAGGGACCTTGGAGGTCTTCTAGTCCAGGGATCGCCAACCTTTTAGACCTCGGGGACCACCAAACTCGTAATTTTAAATCCCGCGGACCAGAGACCCTGGGAAAATCCCCCCCCAAAAAAAGTCTGCAGGAAAATTCCCTACCCCGGTTTCCTACCGATCGATCCTTCTTTATTTGGGATGGCAGGATACCGTCTCCAGCTCCATTCTCAAGGGGAGAGAGAAAAAGAGACTTGGCTTCATGCAAGAAAAGCAGCAGAAGCTGCAGAAGTCTTTCTTTCTCTCTCCCTCAAACTCCACCAGAAATGAGTCTTTGCTGGCACAACCTCTTGGAGCAGGAGGCCTTGCCGGGTCCCAAAGACTCCTTTGTGGTGGAGTTTGGGGGCGGAGAAAGAAAGACTTTTGCTGCTTTCCTTGCGTGCAGCCAAAAGCAGAAGAAGAAAGAAGCAAAAAGATGCATCCCAGTGGCCAGGCCAGGCGCGTGGGGCGAGTGGGGCAAGTTCCCCCCCTCCGCCCTTTCCCCCCCTCCCCTCCCTACCTCATTTTGTTCGCAATACAAGCGACGCAAGCCTTGTGTTCCCGTGGGCCATGTGGGCAGCGCGGCCTTGTGTTCCCGCGCAGCCTGAATTAATTGCTTTGGGGGTGGCCTTTCTCTGCGGGCCACCAAAATTTTCTCATGGACCGCCAGTAGTCCCCAGCCACTGTTCTAGTCCACTGACTGGTTAGTGACTGGAGGGTGGTGCGGTGGCCTAGAGAGGAAACTCTCGCCTCACAATCAGGAGGCTGTGAATTCGATTCTAAGTAGAGATGGATATTTCTGTCTGCACACTGAGAATATATCTGCTGAACAAAACTCCGCATTGGTGACAGGAAAGGCATCCGGCCAGTAAACACTCTGCTAGCTCCATTCAATTGCCCAGACTCCACCTCACAAGGGATTATGGGGTCATTAAAAGAGGATAATGATGATGATCAGTTAGTGACTGAAATTCCGGTCCTAGTTGCAATTGCGAGTCAAATACCGGCAGAACCAGATTTCATTATTTTTTTTTATGTTGTACTTCTGAAATTTAAGACTGTTCCATGCGGTCCAACTTTCCATTCTTCCTGTCTTTTTTTGTTTTTCTTTTAAGGTGATAGTTATGAGCGCTACTCTAGACGCTGGCAAGTTTCAGATTTATTTCGATAACTGTCCTCTCCTCACGATTCCTGGTCGTACACATCCGGTGGAGATTTTTTATACTCCAGAACCAGAAAGGGATTACCTCGAAGCGGCCATTCGTACAGTAATACAGATCCATATGTGTGAGGAAGAGGAAGGAGACCTCCTCCTTTTCCTTACTGGACAAGAGGTATTCCACGTTTCGTGTGTCTCAAATTTTCCTCTGTGGCATTGTTTTGTATGTTCTACCCTTAAGATATTTTCCTTCTTCATCCAGATGATTTCACCTTTCAGGGCAAAAGTTGGCATGTTAAGAGAAAGTTGACAGTGATTTTAAGTTTTTTAGATGTGAAAAGGTAATAAAGAGTTAAGTCAGACCTATAAAAGACAACTGTAAAGATCAGAAAATGCAAGAAAACATGTTAGATTTTCAGCATCTACCGTTGAAATATTTAGCTCTTTCAACAACATTTTTTCTCTTATTGCAGTATCTTCAGTTGTTGTTTTCAAGTTTTTCCCCACCCCCCAGTTACTTTTTTAAAAAAATATTTTTTTTGAAGATCTTAAGATGACCCTTTAATTGCCCTGGAATCAAATAGAGCTTTATAGCTAAAGATGAGATTCTGAATTGTGCTGAGAAACAAATTGAAAGAGGTCACTTTTTAACAAACGTTAACAGGTGGATATCAGTCTGAAAATACCTTTGAATACAAAATAACTTTGGGAAGTTTCAAAAAATGAATACTGGTTTTCAGGAAACCAATCTATAAATGTATTTCAAACTCTGAGACCTTTTCCTTTGCCATTTTGATCTAATTATAGTTCTTTTTCATTTTGTTCTCACCGGTTTAAGCAAGTTAATTCTTGAGGTTAAGTCAATTCTTGAGGTTAAACAAGCAGAAGGCATGGGTATATTGCTAGTCTTAGGGGCCAGGTACAAAGATTTACCACAGTGCTTTTGAACAGGACCGTCAAGTTTCCCTTTGCTCATCCTACACCCAGTGAAAGCTTTTGGATCAATTTGGCTTAGATCACTGCTTGAAACAATATGTAAAAAACCCACCAGTTTTGATGTTGAACAAACTGGTATTTCTTTTTCTTGCATAAACTGAAGCAGATTTATTTAAACTCCCACCTTGTGAGTACTGTATATAAATAAATAAGTACATTCCAGGGACAGTGGTTTAAACCCATTGTTTAAAATACCTTATGATTTATGAAATCTGTATACTATTTTATTATTAGTTTATAATATAAAATATAAAAGCAAATAATAGGAAGAATAGGGAAGGGAAAAGGGAAGAGAAGAATAGAAGAAGAAAGAAAAGGCATTGGCTTCCAAATCTCTTTTGTGCAGTAGAGTAAGATAATAACATCAAACCTCAGCATTTTACTTTTACACTATAGTATAAACTACCCATTTCTATAACAACAGATCTGAAGGAGATGACCATGGCCACCGTTAAGGAGGCTGAGATTTTGGAGGAACAAATTATCTGTATGCCTTAAATATGACTTTGTAGGAAACAGTGAAATATGTAATAATATTTGCAGCATAGGAATTTAGATTTAATTTTCACTTATCGAAGATTAGAGCCATCCTTGAGTTCCGAAGCAAGGCTTGGTGCCTGATCTAAGTGCTTCAGTCCTGGGCAATGGACAGTGATAAAATTTGCTGGTTCTCTGAAACATATACTGGGATTAGGCTGGCATTCTTTGTGTTTACCTATCTTTAAATACAGAAAATAAATGTTTCTTGGGTTAAAATTCCAAATGTTGCATGAAGCACTGCTTTCGGTTTGCCAACAAAATATTATTCTGTTGTCATAGTGATGGATTAGTTTATTACAAAGGCCCTCTTCTGTTATTGTTAGTGATTTCTAAAATTCTGCTGTTGAGAATCTTACTTCAGGTTTTTACAAAACCGTCTGTTGTAGTGATGGGTTTGAAGTAAGGAAGGGAAGAAGGTTTTTTTCTTTTTCTTTTCAGTTTTCAAGGGTTGCCTCCAGAAGTGGTGGGTGCTTCATCACTGGAGGTTTTCAAGAAGAGATTGAACAGCAATTTGTCCAGAATGGCATGGGGTTGGACTAGCAGACCTCCAGGGTCCCTTCCAACTCTTGTTATTCTATGGTTCTGTAATGTTATCCTCCTTGAGCAGGGAGTTGGACTAGAAGACCTCCAAAGCCTCTTCTGATTCCCTTTTGTTCCAGCGTAGTTGGTTTTATAAAGTTGGAATGTTTGGTCCATTGCCAGCTTACAAGCCGAACATGTGAGACTGGATGTGGGCATGCTTTGCATGCACGAAATACCTTGAGGCTAGCTCGACCTACGTACAACACCTGTACGGTTTCAAATATAGTTACTTGTAGGTTTGCTAGCGTTGCTTTCCACCCCTGGCACACTGGGTGGGAAGTACAAAGCTACTCACAGAGCAAGGAAATACAGCAAAGCAAAACAGCTGCCTTCCATTCTCCTTAGGGAATGAACCCTTCAGGTGACTGGGGTTCCCAGCGAAACAAACATCTCAAGTCCCATCAGGATTGCTAAGCAGCTGGAAGAGCTGAGTGACTCTTCTAGAGTGCTTTGGTGGCTTGTGTGAAGTTACAACTAGTTGTTTCATCGGCAGTTTTCCTCCTTCCTTCCTTCCCTCCTTCCTTCCTCCTCCCTCCCTCCCACCTTCCCTCCCTCCCTCCTTTCTTCCCTCCCTCCCTCCTTTCTTCCCTCCCTCCTCCCTCCCTCCCTCCTTCCTTCCCTCAATATTATCATTAAGTTTTGAGACAATTCTGTATGGGAAATGCTTCACAGTTCTTATCTCTGACTTATCTTTATTTTTCTCTAATGTACATAGTTCTATTCTGCTATTCAGCTAATTCATCCATTTAATGCACATTATTTGGAAATAGTACAAGAACTCTTGTTAATAGGTGAAACTGCCTGTTGAAATTTTTTCTTAAGTGTCTTAAGAATAATTGAAGTGGCATGTGTTTTGAGATTCAGATTACTTGGAGCCCTTAACTTGGAAAGATGCATAATATTTTCTTGTGAAACTCAATGCGTGTGCTGTATGTCCTCGTTAATTTAGATGTGGAGAGGCCTTCTTTTTGGAACAAACTGTTTATACTCTGAAGGTGCATGTTCTCGATTTGGTGCAATAAAGCAAATTTCCCCTATAATTGCATTAGTGATACGTGACATTAAAGCTTAATTGGCTTATTTAAAATATCGTGCACATTAATTTGCTTCAGATTGTGAAAATGGAAAAGGTCACGAGTGCAGTTTAATATTCCTGGGTGAGAGATTTCAAGTTTAGTACAATTTGTAGAGAATTAATTAGGAAATATGACTTAAAAGAAAGAAGGGCATTGAATACAAACAAGGCAGTTACGTCCCCCAATTTAAAAACAGAAACCTCTTGGACTGTTAAAAATCCCATTGGAAATTCAGCCAGCATACCAAGAAGTTCTGAAGCATCTTGTTTAGCAAGAGGGCTGCTTTAAAAAATAATAATAATTGCATAGCAATTAGGTTTATTTTATTTACTTTTTTAAAAGTACGTTTTCGTGGTCTTTCCTGTGTAGGAGATCGATGAAGCCTGCAAGAGGATAAAGCGTGAAATCGATGATCTGGGCCCCGAGGTTGGTGACATTAAGATCATTCCGTTATATTCCACACTTCCACCTCAACAGCAGCAGAGGATTTTCGAGCCCCCGCCTCCCAAAAAGCCAAATGGTGCAATAGGACGAAAGGTAGGTTCACTAAGGCTTTATTTTGGCATCCCTGAGTTTAGCACTGTACTTCAATAAGACTTTGCAATAAAAATGCATAGAGTGTGCTGTAAGATAGTTTCCTTCTTTACCTATGTCCCTTTTTCAAGAGGCAACTGGACTTTCTTGTTTTTTTTCTTTTGAAGACATTTCACTTCTCATTCAAGAAGCTTCTTTGGCTCTGATTGGATAGTGGGAAAGGGAAGGATTTATACTCCTTGCAGACAGCTGGTCATTTGCATCCTTTTTAGAGGGTCGTTGAGGCCACTTGGAGGTTTGTCTGTGTCCTCAGGATCACCTGAGCGGTGCAAATGGGTGTGAAACCTTTTTGGAACTGTTGAAAAGACTGTTGTAAACTAGAGATAGACAGGTGATAGCAATAGCACTTAGACTTATATACTGCTTTATAGTGCTTCACAGTCCTCTCTAAGCGGTCTACAGAGTCAGCCTCTTGTCCCCAACAATTTGGGTCCACATTTTACCCACCTCAGAAGGATGGAAGGCTGAGTCAACCTGGAGCCTGGTGAGATTCGATGTGCCAAATTGCAGGCAGCTGGCTGCAGCAAAAGTAGCCTGCATTGCTGCACTCTAACCATTGCGCCACCGAGGCTCACTGATGTCGTATCCCTCTCTCTCTGTTGAGAGAGGCCTGTTCAGTTTTGACCTAGATGGCCCCTTTGACCCCTCTTCCCAACCAGAGGTCCTCTCTGTCCAAAATGTGGACTTTGCTTCATCTTTCAAATGCAGATAGACCACTGGTGGGTTTGTTCTCCTATGTTGCGCCATGCGTTTGTAAAGTGGGTGTTTTACTTCCCCAGCGTACTGATCTGTACACGTCTCCTTGCATTGTACTGTGTTGTTGTACAGCCATGACCTGGATGGCTGAGAAACTCCATAGATGTCCTGTGCAGGGTTTATTCCTTAGCTATAACCTGCTGTTTGTGCACAGTGGGGTGTACATTATACTGATGACACTGTGCTCTGACAGAGGACATTGCTTTTCTGCATCTAGGGAAATAAGCCTCTGTTGTGTCAAGAGATGGTTGGCCATATATTTGAAGTTGACAAAGCTAGGGCAGTAGTAAGTTATTATTAACCTGTTATGAACTCATGGTAGTTTTCCATTTTTTCCTCAAATTAGAAATGCTGGCGCTGTTTGGTTCAGCATATGAACGTTGGAGGTAATAATAGATGAATTTGTTGTCTTGGATGCCTTGGTGCTTTTCTGGAAAACGTTTTTTGTGGTTGCACTATGCTTAGGAAGCTCTTGCAGAATATAAGTAGCTGACACCATCCATTAGTATGCTAATGACCTTGCTTCCTTCTAATAGGAAGAAAAGAAACCGCAAAAGCTTTATTTTTTCAAGGTCCTATGAATCCTGTAAGTTAGGCCTTCTTTCCACCAGATACAATTGTGCTTGGCGCACAACCCGAGTTTGTGTTGGACTGTTTTGCAGCGTATCAAATTTAAGGTGTTTGCAGCTCTCCATTATGGGGAATTGGGTAGGTTAGATCACAAGTGAAGCCGTGCTGTCTCTTTGTTTCGGAGGAGTGAATCATTTCATTCCATACCAGTACAGCATCTTTCAGGTGGAGCCCAGGTGGGTTACAAGCCAGGCTCAAAAGTCCTTACATTGTCGAGCCCGGAAGTCAGGAAGCAAGTTAGCGGAGAAGAGGTTTCCCATCAGCCACGCTTGACTGGCAATTTCAAGGTTGTTTATTGAAATGCAGGTCTTGTGGGACAACCTTAAAAATACTCCTAAAGTGCAGCTGGCCTGGAATATTGTTTTCTCTTTCCCCCGCCCCCCCCCCCCCCCCCCCCCCCGGATTTACATCGAGAATTTCTATGCTGTAGCCTGAGTTTTTGGATACAATCTGGAAACTTTGTAAGAATCTAGAACCGGGTTGTGGCCGGCCAGTGGAGCTGGTGGCAGACTCGGACAGTAAGGAGGTTGGGGAGGAACATGGGCCAGTCCTGGAGTCTGGGGAAGGCTCTGATGAATGCTCTGCATGGGAGGCAGAGATGGGGCCAGGCCTGTCCGACAGTTATCAGCTGCCTTCGGAGTCGGAGATCAGTGGGGCAGAAAAACAGCTGGAGCCTGTTCCCGATACACGCATGCGCAGAGCTGCCAGGAGAAGGGAACAGCTAAGGAACAAGGTTCGACTCGGGAGCAAAGGCACAGGTGGATGGTGAATGGCCCCTCCCAGAGGGAATAAAGAGGAGTGAAAGGGGACCGGTGTTTGTAGGAGACAATTAGTTTGTTTAATTAGTGTGAAGATTTGTTTGTGACTCTCAGAGACTCCTTGCCAAGTATTTCCTTGAATAGCGTTGCACTTGGAAGCTATCGGCCTGGCAACTCTCCAAGCCTGATAAGGTCTGTGGTTGTAATTCACCTTTGAAAGGCTGTTTGCCGAGACTTTGCTGGATGTGAATGAGAGGAATTCACATTAGCCTAATAAAAAGGGGTTTTGTGGGTGGGATCTTAATTAGGGCTTATTTGGGGCGTAGGGCTCATTGGGCGCACGTGTAAAAATGAAGTTAGGACTTACTTTCAAGATAGGTCGTATGTTTGGGGAAACGGTAGAAATATGAGGTATTTTGAATGTGGTATGATGGGTGTAGGAATATCTGGCAATAGGAGAAAACATTGTAAGATTTCTCTTTAATCTGCTCTTTGGTTATTCTATCATTTTTTTCCTGCCTGGTCTGATGGACATCCCATGGATGGAAATTGCTCCTGACTTTCATAAAGCCATTTTTATGTGCTAGCAACATTTAACGTTTCTGTGTAACACAGGCAGCAGAAAACCCTTCTGTATTTTTCAACAGGTTGTCGTATCAACTAACATTGCCGAGACATCATTAACAATAGACGGTGTTGTTTTCGTCATTGATCCTGGCTTTGCGAAACAAAAGGTGAACAAAGAGTTTTATTTATATAGATGTACAACTCCCACGTGGTACACACACATACACACACACACACACACACACACACCCTTACCCTTTAAGATGATGTAAATTTACCATTCTGTTTGTTTTGCTGATTAATGGACTTATTATCTGGATCAATGGATACATCATTTGGGTTTACTTCCCAAGTGTATGTAAAAACTCCCTTGATTCAATATGCGGCGTTAAAACACGTCTAATATAATGAGGAATACAGAGCACAAAACAGGTGGACACCAATGTCCACAAGTACCCGAGCAATACAATTGTGAGTTAAATGCTGCCAAAATTTTAAAAAACATCAGTGCTAGAAGTGGGCGGGGCTTGTGGGGAAGAGGAGGAGGACTGTGGGGTCCTTGGTGCTCTCGGAGCTTGCTTGTTTTCTGGCAGACCTATTACCCTAACTAGGTAATATCATCAGTGCTAGCTGATGATGTTACCTGCTGGTAGTTAGTGTCTGTCAGGGTATATTCATGGACTGGAATAGAGCATGGTAACAAAGTCAGCCAATGAATAGGCATAGCAACTAAGTCAGCCAATGTGGACTGTTTGGAAACTGACACCAGAAGTAGCCTAGGCATGGCTCTATATATTAATGAAGTCGCAGCCGTCTGTGTTTACTTTTTCTGGCGTTGAATTTACACTGCAAAACTCTGAACAGTGTCACCATAGTGACTAGCACTGATGATGTTACCTAGTTTGGTCATGAAACGTCTGCAAGAAAACAAGCTCAGAGAGCACCAAGGGTCCCACATTTCACCCCTGAGCTGCAAATATTCTCCTTTTAAGAGTGGAAAAAAATAACATGAACATTTTATTTATTTATTTTTAAATTTGACTCTTCTGCCCTCCCCAGGTCTACAATCCACGAATCAGGGTAGAATCTCTGTTGGTGACCGCGATCAGCAAAGCTTCCGCTCAACAGAGAGCTGGCCGCGCAGGTCGTACTCGCCCCGGGAAATGTTTCCGGCTATACACAGAGAAGGCATACAAAACCGAGATGCAGGTTTGTAAAAATGGCAGTTCATTAGCTTTGGATCCTAAGCGATTGCGGGCACTGATTTTGGGTCTGTGAAAATGCAGGTAATTGCTGAATTTTGTGAAAAAAAGCCTCATTTCTGAATCAATACATACATTGATTGGGAAAAATGAAAATGTTGGAAGCAAGGAAGAAGTCGCAGAATGTTTAAAGGTTACAAATCCAACCTGTTCACATCTTACGAAGGAAAACATGAGCCACTCATAATTGAAATGCAATACAAAGCAATCCATACAGAGAGAAGTCTACCACACAACGCATTTGTGACAAGCTAGAGAGTAGGGATACGCAAATCGTTCCTGTTCTGTCCTAGGCTTCCCCAAAAAGCACTAAGCAGACTCTTTGTCCCGGCAAAACCCCTTTTATTAAACAAAGGTGAATTTCTTGCATTCACATTCAGCCAAAGGCCTGGCAAACAGTCTTTCAAGGGTATAATTAGGAGCTCAAACCTTATCTATCTTGGAAAGCTGCCCGGTAAATATTTCCAAACACAGTGCTGACAAGGAAGGGCTTAGCACAGAGTCTCTAGGGTGCACAGACAGATCTTCACAATGATGGAACGAATGAACGAATTGTTTCCTGCAAAAGCTCCCTCCCCTTTTGCTCCTCTTTTAATCTCTATGGGAGGGGCCATTTCCCGTCCACCTGAGCCTATACTTCTGAGTCGACCCTTGTTCCTTAACTGTTCCCTTCTTCTGGCAGCTCTATACATGCACACACTGGGAACAGGCTCCAGCTGTTCTTCTTCCCCACTGATCTCCGGCTCCGAAGGCAGCTGATAACTGTCGGACGGCCCTGGCCCCATCTCTGCCTCTGACACAGAGCCCTCATCCGAGCGTTCCCCAGACTCCAAGACTGGCCCATGTTCCTCCCCAACCTCCTCACTGTCCGAGTCTGCCACCAGCTGCTCCAGCCGCCGGCGGGCCACAACAGTTCCATGTCAACAGTTACTTTGGGATTGTCCTGCCCTAAACTTAAGCATGTATGTTTGTTATGTATACAGGTAGTCCTCAACTAACAACCGTTCATTAACTGACTGTCCAAAGTTATACTGGCACAAGAAGAAAGGGACTTAGGACCATTTTTCACACTTACGACCACCGCAGCATCCCCAGGGTCACATGATCAAAACTGAAACGTTTGGCAACTGACTCATACTTATGATGGTTGCTGTGTCCCGGGGTCACGTGATCATCTGTTGTGACCCTTCTGATGAGCGACGTCAACGGGGAAGCCCCATTCATTTAACAACCATGTTATTATAAGTTAACTGCAGTGATTCACTTAATAAACATGGCGAGAGAAGTCGTAAAATGGGGCAAAACTCACTTAACCAATGTCTCACTTAACAACATACATTTTGGGCTCGATTGTGGTCAGAAGTTGAAGACTACAGGTATATATTTTTTTCATTCCCAGCCATAATAATTTATCTTCTTGTCTAGGAAACAATGTGACACAATAAAAGAGCGAGCAGTTTAATATGCTTCATTTTTTAATATTCTTACTCATGCACCATGTTTGCTTCTCTGATATCTAAAAAAGATTGATTTGCTTCCACTCTGGTTTTTTACGGTGATGAGTTTGCTTTCATAATTTCATAATGCCGAACAATTGTAGATATAAACATATTTGCATTAAAACGGCTACTACTGTTACCCAGCAAGGTAGCATTTTTCAGTAAATAGCTACTATTTAAACATGAAACAGGCTTTTACAATTCCATTTGGGTTAACTGCTTTCTATCAGTCCTGTATGTTTTAATGAAAAAAATACCAAAAACAGAAACTGAATTTCTGTTCTTCTAAAATATGTAAAATGTATTTGTTTTCAGGACAATACCTATCCTGAGATTCTGAGATCCAACTTGGGTTCTGTGGTCTTACAGCTGAAGAAACTTGGTATAGATGATTTAGTTCACTTCGATTTTATGGACCCACCAGGTATGTTTTTAAAAATTCCTATAATAGAATGGAATGGAATGGAATATAGAATAGAATAGAATAGAATAGAATAGAATAGAATTCTTTATTGGCCAAGTGTGGTTGGACACACAAGCAATTTGTCTTGGTGCAAATGTTCCCAGTATACATAAAAGAAAAGATGCATTTGTCAAGAATCAAATTACAATTGTGGACATAATGTTAAGCGTTAGCAAGATACATTTGTTCCTTTTCGTATCATGAGTTAAATGTGTGTTCCCTGAATGTGAACATAACCAAATTCATTGTAGTGTAAAAAAAAGGCCATCAGTCAGTGCCAAAAATCTTTTTAAAAAAGATACACTTTATTATTTTAAAAAAAACTATTTGCTATACACTTTGAATGGAGAGCTCTTTGATAGCAAAGTATGTTAAATTCATTGAGCAGTTGTTACAAGAATACCATGTTTCCCTAAAAATAAGACCCCGTCTTATATATTTTGCCACCAAAAAAGGCACCAGGTCTTATTTTCGGGCGATGTCAGCCACTGACTAACCTCACTTGCGTGCGTCGTCCCCCTGGCCTCCTTTTCGCTGTCAGAGGCCTTCAGGAACTTCTGTGGCCGGCAAGGCTTTCCTGAAGGCCTCTGCAGTGGATAAGAGAGCTCTGGATCGATCCTGAGCTTTTGTTCTCAGATCCAGAGGCCTTCAGGAAAGCCTGGCCAGCCTTGCTGGCTGCAGAAGAAATGGACCGGCCAGGCAGGTGTCTGGGTGTGTGAGGCCTGGCTACACCTGTCCAAAAAGAAGTAGTAGGGCAGCATCAACCCCCCCATCCCCACCCTAGTTTAATTTTTACCCGTCCACTCTGGAGTAAACAGGATCTTAATTAGGGCTTATTTTGGGGGTAGGGCTGATATTGGGCACACATGTAAAAACCAAGCTAGGACTTACTTTCAGCATAGGTTGTATTTTTGGGGAAAGAGGGTAATATTTAATATGAAATTAATCATCAACTCATATGTGTCATAAAGAATGTTCTACAAACCAGGGCTTGTTTATTAGATGTGGATTTAAGTTTTGTTCCTGGAATTTGAAACTGCAGGAAACAGTTAGAGCCAAAAAGGACCAGCTTTCATATACCAAGTTGTATGGATGGAAGTTCTTTTTCTGATGACTCCTGTCTGTGGAAAGATAACTGAAGACATTAAGTCTTAGCGCATACAACATTTTACATTTTTTTCTAGCAGCCTTTCCCAGCGTAATGGCTTCTGATTAGAAATTTGGGGGAATCTGGGTAGATTTGTCAAAATGCATCTGGAAGGGCCCGTGCTGGGGAGGAAAGACTTGGTCCCCACATGACAGTGTTACATATTGGGGAAAACCAGTTTTATTTTAATACGCTCTTTGCCAATTGTGCTTCTAACATCTTTTGTGCTCAGTTACTTTATCCGAGGCCAGGAAAATTGATTTAAGGTCAGAGTTATGAAATTACAGGCCCTTTTTTGGCAGTAAATTTCAAACACGTTGAATAAATCCATAGGTTTACAACAGATTTACTGTACTACGGATGAAAATATGCCTAGAGGGGGAAAAAATTTAAATGAAGTTGTCCGTCCAAGTCTTTGGACATGGTTTTCTGTTCAATTGCCAAACATATAGACGATTTAGCCATTTTTTTCTGCTTTCCTTTTTAAAAAAATAAATAAATGTAAATTTGTGTGCTTTAGTTGCCCAGGCAGAGTTGCAAGAATTGACCTCTTTGCTTCGTCTCTTCCACTGCCAAAAATCCAGCCAGGCACTTGTGCAGATGATTTTATTTTTCCTGCACTTCACTGCCCATGGGGAGGAATTAAAACTCTTTTAACAGGGTTACAACGTGGAGCAAAGTTTGAGCTGGGCCCAAAGGCAGAGAGCTAAAACGGCGGGATTTCAGCAAGAAGGGGAGGGGAGGTCAGCCAACAAGAGAATCCATACATCTTCATGGGCACCCAAAGGATATACAGGTAGTCCTTGACTTACAACAGTTCATTTAGTGACCATTCAAAGTTACAATGGCAGCGGGGGGGGGGGAAAGGGACATACGACCGTTTTTCACACTTAATGACCGTTGCAGTGTCCTTATGGTCAAGTGATCAAAATTCAGACGCTTGGCAGTCGGCTCATATTTACGACGGTCGTAGTGTCGTGTGTGTGTGTGTGAAAGTGATCCCTTTTGCGACCTTTTGGCAAGCGAAGTCAACGGGGAAGCCAGATTTGCTTAACGTCAGGGTTACTAGTTTCAACACCTGCAGCGCTTCACTCAGTTGTGGCAAGTGAAGCAAAACTCACTTAACAACTGTTTCGCTTAACAACAGAGCTTTTGGGCTCAATGATGGTTGTAAGTCAAGAAATACCTGCATTTCCCCCAAGGAGTGGGTCCCAGAGTCAGAAAGCCCTGGCAACTGAGCAGCTGGGGGGCCTGGCTTGATACCTGAAAACAAAAGGAGAAGAGACTGAAATAATGACCATATTTTATATAAAACGGAAGAGAAGTGACCTAATCATGAAGAAGCAGCCGGGTGTCTAGGACTCCTATAATAATGCCTTGCCATCATTTTAATTTGGATGGTAGGAATAATAGTAGTAGTTCCAAGAGCTTTCAGATCTACATCAGTGGTGTTCACTATAATATTTTAATAATAATTAGAATGCTGAGAACCTGTCCTAGCCTAGGAAAATGTATTCATCTCAAACCTACTGGAATAAACATTTTTTTTTATTTACAAGCTGGGAGAAATCCCAAAGGTGCTTTTTTTTCAAGAGGCAACTGGACTTGTTCAGAGCTCTGTACAAATACTTACAGGCTTAAGTTTAAACCATAAGAACGTAAGAGGACATGATAAAATAGTATTTAAAAGCATGTTAGAATGAGCTGTAAGTATCTGGGGAGAATGAGCTACATCAATTCCCTGCCTAATTCAAACACCAGAGAAGAAATCAACAAACCCAAAGGTGCTTGGAAGCAAGTGGATTACCTTGTTTTCTTTGAAGATGTTTCACTTCTCATCCAAGAAGCTTCTTCGGCTCTGACTGGATGGTGGGGAATGGAAGGATTTATACTCCTTGCAGACAGCTGGTCATTTGCATCCTTTTTAGGGAGCTGTTGACGCCACTTCGAGGTTTGTCTGTGTCCTCAGGGTCACCTGAGTGGTGCAAAGGGGTGTGGAGCCTTTTTGGAACTGCTGAAAGGACCGTGTTGTGGTCTCCACACCCATTTGTACTACTCAGGTGACCCTGAGGACACAGACAAACCTCCAAGTGGCCTCAATGGCTCTCTGAAAAGGATGCAAATGACCAGCTGTCTGCAAGGAGTATCAATCATTTCCCACCATCCAGCCAGAACCAAGGAAGCTTCTTGGATGAGAAGCGAAATGTCTTCAAAGGAAAAACAAGAAAGTCCAGTTGCCTCTTTGCCACTGTGACCTGGATGGCTTTGGGACAACCATGAGCCGAATGGCTATGAATCTCCATAGACATTAAGCTGGAAGAACCCCTATAAAGCTGTCGGTCTGTGGCCAACTCTCTGGGATTGCGCACCTACTCCTAAGCCAACACTCTTAATGGCTACTTATCGCCGAATTAATTTGCGTGCCATTCGTTTTGCATTTCGTCAGCCCGGGACTGGCCTTGCTCACCAGTGCTCTGCTTGTGTGTTTGTACGTGTGTTGTGTCTTTTGCAGCTCCAGAGACCTTGATGCGAGCCTTAGAGCTTCTGAATTACTTAGCCGCTTTAAACGATGACGGAGACTTGACTGAACTGGGCTCCATGATGGCCGAGTTTCCCCTTGACCCGCAGCTGGCTAAAATGGTTATTGCAAGTTGCGACTACAACTGTTCTAATGAGATTCTATCTATTACTGCCATGCTGTCAGGTAATAGCAGGGACAGAGATGCCAATCAAAACCCAGCTCTCCAATTAGGGGAAGCTTGTAATATTCCTGCAAGAGGACTACTTACGGTCTTTAAAAAAAAGCTTGATTTGTGCCGATCAGACGTACTCTGTAGTAGGCTTCACAGTGGAGTAAAAAAAATGCGTAAAAAAGAAATCAACGTTGAAGCTACAGAAGTCATTGTGTGTGAAAAAAAGGGGAACCTAACTCGTTTCACGTCCAGAAAAAAAAAATTAACTGCTAAGGATTGCAAAATCGTAGGAAAACACTTCTTATTCCTTAGAAACTGTAGCACTTAAGCCCGTTTCTTGTTATGAAAGTGAACAAAATAGCAATAATAATAATAAGAACTGGCTTTGTTTTCTGGTCCTATAAATTTGCGATAGCCTGCATTTATAAAGATACGAAAGAGAGTCCTCACAAGGTTACATAAAGTTGGGAAAAAACATTCATTGTTTAAAGGGAACATTGGAAGGAAAGACGGCAGCTTTAATATTATCACTGCATACTATTTTTTAAAATTGATTTTACAAAAGTAGAAGCCAATACGATTGGGAGATGGAAAAAAAAATTGGTTTGAACCACAGTCTTTGGTGATCGTGGATGGTTTTTTTTCCAAGCTAGCAGTGCCCAGATGGCTTCTAGAGCCCGACTGTGTGAATTTTAAAATTTAAATATATACATAAAAAGAGTTTATACGCCGTGCACTGCTTTGAAAACTGAGTTCCCAGGGAAGCTGCTGTTTCAGATATCCAAGCCCTAAAGACCTGTTGATCGTGAAGAATTAAAATGTGGTTCTTTGAGGTCTTGGCCTAAACTTTTAATTGTCCCTTTCTTGGAGAAAAAACAGTTCGATACCAGGAACAACCAGGAAAGAAATGATGTGCTTAAAGCCTCCTTAATGAATTGAATATCATTTAAATATTTGTGTGGGGCAATGGGGATATTACCAGTTAAGGAGTGCCAGAGGATATATATATATATTTATATTTGGAGTGGGTGGGGTGTCTCAAAATGTGCACCTTTGTGGTAGAGCATAAGATAAGGTAAAGTTTTTTTTGGGTGAGACAAGCGATCACATTATTGCAGGGGAATTTTTTTTCTTTTTCTTTTCCTCTAAAAACTATCTACAATGTTTTATTGCCGAATTTTGACACTTCAGACTCAGAGCAGATGGGCAGGGCAGAATCTCATTGTCTTGAGTAAATTGTCGCCTTATTTGCGGAGGTGGTGGTAGGTTGATACCTGCCTTTTCATGCAATCCTACTACAGGAACTGAATTCTTAAATGAAATGGCTGTGTTTTATTCCCTCTAATTGCATATGTCAGTGAGTATTTTGACTTAAAAGCCACCTCAGTAAACGTGCAATATGTTTATACGCACATAATGTACATATGATGAATTTTTGGTTCTTCAAGTTAAGGATGTAGCATATTTATGGGGTCATTGTCTCCTTGGACATAGTTGAGGAGCACTTCTCACTATACTGGTTTCCAGAAAGCACCACTGACTTCTCCCCCTACCAAACATACACACACACACACACACACACACACACACACACACACACCAGTAAAACTGTCAGATTGAATGAAAAGAAAATGAGAGCCATCTAATTAACAGGATCAGAATACCGTCTTCCCAGAAGTAATTGATTAAATTGAGACCTTCACTATGGGAAGAGTTGAGGTGGCAATCTTGAAACACTCTTAAAAAGGCCTAAACAATAGGAAAAAAAAGTGAAGGAGAAGCAGTAATTTGCTGACCAAAACTGTCTAAATTGAAACAATCCCATTCTCCATCCCCAAACGTCCACTAAATGGTAGTAACAAATTAGTACTGCTCTTCATTATTCAATCTGCAGTATAAACATGATGTACTTAATGGTAGTTTTTGTGCTTCAATATTGATGGTTTTCGGTAGCTTTAATTCCACACAATTCCATATGTTTTCAGTTTCTGGATGTTGAACTTCAATGGGTTTTTTTGCAGAAACATTTCTCTTGACACTTCTACTTCTTAATTTAAAAAAAAAGTGCTATAAACAGTAGGCCTTTTGCAATATTGCTGTTGGCATATTGGCAGTTTGTTCATAGTCTTCAATTTCTGTACTTATTTTTCAGCCTTTCCCCAGCGTTTCCTAAAAGGCCAATCTAAAAATCGTGCAAAATTATTTAACATTTGAAACAAATGTTTGAACTTGGGTTCGGATCAAGATCCAAATTTCAAGGCATTTGAGGAACAGTGTTTTTTATTTTTATTTTTAAAAAAACCTGTTCTATCCAAGGCGATTAATTGTATTTAAACACCTACATAAAACCAATGGGGAATTTTACAGGATCTTTTACCGAAAAGATCCAGCTTTTCCTACGTAAAAGTCATTTAAAAAAAAGAAAGAAAGAAAGAAAAGAAAAACAGACTTTCAAAGTTTTGAACGAACTTGCTTTGTGGGATATTGACTTCTACTCTTCACCATGAAAACATGGTTCATGTACCTTCAAAATGATAAGCAGGGCATTCAATAAAGAGAAGGCTCTGTGTAAAGAGATTGAGCCTCAGTCCACAACTATATTTGTTAACATCTGATAAAGCTGTTGGGAGTCTCCCTTCCATCACTGCTGCTGTGATGCCACCATGGGGCCACCTCTCGTTCATCCAAGTGCTTTTGGCCACCAGTGCTGATAGCGATGCTTGCTGCCGGCGACGGAGCTATAATGCAAGGTCTTTAACCCTTGGTCAGTAGAGGGGATGTTTGCTTAACTGTTTTTAGGGGGGCTTGTTTCCTCGAAGGCTCTCCTCTCCCCCCCCCTCCCCCAGGTTGCTCTTGACCCATGGATTATGTCCATGGGGAGGCTTGGTCTCCACACGCAGACGGCAGAGCTATCAGCATTTGGTTTCTTGCCCTGGTCACGCCACCCTTCCAAGGTTGATGGCCTTCAGGATAGATTCATTTTTTCTTTCTTTCTTTCTTTCTTTTCTGTTTCGGATGCCTACTTCTAGTCCAAATAATCTGGCCTTCTTGTAGCTTTGAAACCCCCTCTTGTCTTGCAGATGTGGTTAGGTGTTGATGTCCCAAATCAAGGTAGTAGGCAGCCCAAGATGCAGTTGGAGGCCATCCTGCCCTGCCCTATGCTCTGTGAACTGACCTAGCTAGGCCTTGTACCTCTGTCTGTGAATGCGTGACTCATCGATATGGGCGTTTGTGTTGGGCCCATACCAACCTTGTTTAGTCCCACAGTGTTTTGTTCGCCCCACGGAAGCCAAGAAAGCTGCAGATGAGGCCAAGATGAGATTCGCCCACATAGACGGAGATCATTTGACGTTGCTGAACGTGTACCACGCTTTCAAACAGAGTGAGTAGAAGCTGGGGGAACCCCTGTGTCAGCTTTGGAAGCCATATTTGAGACCAGATGTTTCCACGCTGCCACATCTGAGCCTGGGAAAGTGGGAGGGGGGAATAAATTGGAGTATCTCTAGTTAGACATAATAACATTCTTTTTCTGATTCAAGGTCAGGCTGTGTGGCGCATAAGTGAGGGGAAGTCTCAAGTTGGGATGGATGGTGATTGGGCCATGTGATGTGACGAAGGGTGGCATGGGATGGATTTTGTAGTTTTTACTTATTGCAAGGAAGCCCAGAACTTTCAGATTCGGGATTCCACAGTTGTGCCAGTTACTATTCAAATAAAAAGGAATCTTTGAGAAGATTCTGTCCCGGAGTTATCGGGCGGAATAGAGGGTTGCTCGAACGCTGGAACCACATTCTTGGCGCCAGTTGGGTTGGCCGTTGCTATTCCAACCAGAGAATTATGTCACCTGGAGCTGGCCGGGCCCTTTCGTGGCGATTTTCACCTGCTTTGTATGTTGTAGGGTTTTTGCATGCGTTGTGTAGTTTTAGGTAGCTTATAACTGAGGTTTGCAGCCTGCCGTTAAACTTTTGATTGTGGTCTTGACTCTGGTCAGGCTGCTAAATTTAGTTTTAATCACCATGACTATTCTGATCCAAATAAAACCCACAAAAAAGTTCTTTGCTATCAGGATTGGGAATCTGTAACGGAAATGGGGAAAATACCATCTTTAGAAATGCCATTAAGGAAGAATGATCCTCAGCTATGGGTAAATGCTGGCTAGAAAGAAAAAGGCAGTCTTATTTGCACATTAATGTGGAAAAAAGGAGGGTTTCATAAATCAGTCAGAATAGAGCTGGAAGGGATCTTGAGGTCTTCTAGTCCAGCCCCCTGCTCAAGCAGAAGACCCCTAGACCATCCATTTCAGACAAGTGGCTCTCCAGTCTCTTCTTAAAAACTTCCAGTGTTGGAGAACCTACAACTTCTGGAGGCAAGTTGTTCCACTGATTAATTGTTCTCACTGTCAGGAAATTTCTCCTTAGTTCTAGGTTGCTTCTCTCCTTGATTAGTTTCCACCCATTGCTTCTTGTCCTGCCTTCAGGGGCTTTGGAGAATAGCTTGACTCCCTCTTCTTTGGGGCAGCCCCTGAGATATTGGAAGACTGCTATCATGTCCCCTCTGGTCCTTCTTTTCTCTAGACCCTAGAAATAATTCAGTCTGATTAAATGTATAGCTATATATTGCCGAATGGATTTTGTAAAATACTAATTACTCACCAAAAGAAACTAGGTTATATAGTTTCTTGATATTCTTAAAAGAACATTGTTGATGAGGGGAATTGATCCCAGGTCTGTGAAGTCAAGAGAATCTGCTAATGTTTAATTGGCTAGAATTTTACAGAATGCATAAGACAGATTTTATTTTACATACCAACCCATAATCACTTCCTTCAGTTTGCTTGATTCTCCCTTGTTGCTTCCTGTTGTCCTGGCTTCCTTTGGGGGGGGGGGATTAAACAATTTGGGGTTTATTTCCTTGGTGCTGCAGCAAACATCGCATTTGTATATTTTTATTTTTACTTTAAAAAAATCACTGAAAAGGCCGTCATTCAAGAATTTAATTGGTTGACTTGATTTGGCCATCCGGCTGGTTCTCTGATTGTGCATTTGTTTTGTTTTTTAAATTCTGCATAAAATACCGAGTTTTAGATGATTCATGGCTTTTTTTTTTTTTGTTAAATGTTGCAGATCATGAATCGGTTCAGTGGTGCTATGACAACTTCATTAACTACAGGTCTTTGATGTCAGCGGACAACGTACGCCAACAGCTGTCACGAATCATGGACAGGTTTAATTTGCCCCGTAGAAGCACAGACTTCACAAGCAGGGACTACTACATCAACATACGAAAGGCGTTGGTCACCGGTTATTTCATGCAGGTATGTCCCCAAAATAAAGGAAGTCTCTATATAATTGTCTGTTTCTTAACTCTTTTGTTGTGTTAAATACAGTGTGAGTTAATGCTAAATTTACAGTGTAAATTAATCTTGCTGATTTCAGGGCAGCAAGCAGAAATGGCTTTCCTCCTGAAGGAATAATCTGAGATCCAAAATGTGAAGAATTCTAGAAGTTGAATTTGTACCTCTGCTAGCTTTTGTTAGTCCCCTTAATGAAATATTTCTGATATGCATATGCTAGCTACCTCTATTTATTTATTTACTAGCTATATACCCATGCTTCACTACGAAACTATGTGATTGGGCTTTGTTTTTGGGGAGGAAAATAAGGGGGAAAAATTCTACCTCTGCTTACCAGCATCCATTGGTATTCATCCGGCTAGCAACCTGTCAGTGTGTGAGAATTGAGGGCTTGCTGTGTGAGCAAGAAGGAGACAGCAAGGAGCCTGGGCATGGCTTAGCTCAACTGTTCTGTACTAAAGCTGCTTGGTGCTCTGAACCTGAACCTGAAACTCTACTCCTCTGCTTGTGTTTTGCATTTGGAACAGATTTCTTTTCAGGTGGGGAGAGGGAGTAGAACTCTTTAGCATCAGAGCGTGTTGTTGTTAATAATAATAATAATAATAATAATAATAATAATAATAATAATAATAATAATAATTATTAATATAGGAAATACTCTAAATGCTCTGATGGTTATTTGGAAAAATTCTTTCTTAGTGAGCCCTTAGAAGCCAAGAGGAACATTTGTGCCAAATTTCAAGTTTGTAGGCTTTACGGTTCTGGAGATTTTGGGATGATGCGTGAGGGGTATTTCGCTTTTATACACTGCTCAAAAAAATAAAGGGAACACTTAAACAACACAATGTAACTCCAAGTCAATCACACTTCTGTGAAATCAAACTGTCCACTTAGGTGGCAACACTGATTGACAATCAATTTCACATGCTGTTGTGCAAATGGAATAAACAACAGGTGGAAAGCATAGGTAGTTAGCAAGACATCCCCAATAAAGGAGTGATTCTGCAGGTGGTGACCACAGACCACTTCTCAGTTCCTCAGCTTTCTGGCTGATGGTTTGGTCACTTTTGAATGCTGGCGGTGCTTTCACTCTAGTGGTAGCATGAGACGGAGTCTACAACCCGCACAAGTGGCTCAGGTAGTGCAGCTCATCCAGGATGGCACATCAATGCGAGCTGTGGCAAGAAGGTTTACTGTGTCTGTCAGTGTAGTGTTCAGAGCATGGAGGCGATACCAGGAGACAGGCCAGTACATCAGGAGACATGTAGGAGGGCAACAACCCAGCATCAGGACCGCTACCTTGGTAGTGCAAGGAGTGACACAAGAAGCACTGCCAGAGCCCTGCAAAATGACCTCCAGCAGGCCACAAATGTGCATGTGGCTGCTCCAATGGTCAGAAACAGACTCCATGAGGGTGGTATGAGGCCCGACGTCCACAGGTGGGGTTGTGCTTACAGCCCAACACTGTGCAGGACGTTTGGCATTTGCCATAGAACACCAAGATTGGCAAATTCGCCACTGGTGTCCTGTGCTCTTCACAGATGAAAGCAGGTTCACACTGAGCACATGTGACAGACGTGACAGGGTCTGGAGATGCCGTGGAGAACGTTCTGCTGTTTGCAACATCCTCCAGCATGACCAGTTTGGCAGTGTGTCAGTAATGGTGTGGGGTGGCATTACTTTAGGGGGCCGCACAGCCCTCCATGTGCTCACCAGAGGTAGCCTGACTGCCATTAGGTACCGAGATGAGATCCTCAGACCCCTTGTGAGACCATATGCTGGTGCGGTTGGCCCTGGGTTCCTCCTAATGCACGACAATGCTAGACCTCATGTGGCTGGAGTGTGTCAGCAGTTCCTGCAAGACGAAGGCATCGATGCTCTGGACTGGCCCACCCTTTCCCCAGACCTGAATCCAATTGAGCACATCTGGGACATCATGTCTCGCTCCATCCACCAACACCACGTTGCACCACAGACTGTCCAGGAGTTGGGGGATGCTTTAGTCCAGGTGTGGGAGGAGATCCCTCAGGAGACCATCCGCCACCTCATCAGGAGCATGCCCAGGTGTTGTAGGGAGGTCATACAGGCACGTGGAGGCCACACACACTACTGAGCCTCATTTTGACTTGTTTTAAGGACATTACATCAAAGTTGGATCAGCCTGTAGTGTTTTTTTCCACTTTAATTTTGAGTGTAACTCCAAATCCCAGGCATGATATTTTTCCGATTAAAATCGGAATTCCGATTTTTTTCGGAATCGCCCGGGCGGTGCGAGCGGAGCCCGGGCGAGCGGCGGTCGGTGCGAGCGGCGGTCGGTGCGAGGGGCGGGCGGGAGCGTGCGGCGGCGGGCGAGCGGTGGGCGCGCGCGGCGGGCGATTTCTTGGCGCGCGGTGGGGGGTCTCTTTTGGCCGGCCCCGATTTTTTTTTCTAAGGGGAATATCATGCCTGAAATCCAGACCTCCATGGGTTTCTAAATTTGATTTCCATTGATAATTTTTGTGTGATTTTGTTGTCAGCACATGCAACTATGTAATGAACAAAGTATTTAATAAGAATATTTCATTCATTCAGATCTAGGATGTCTTATTTTTGTGTTCCCTTTATTTTTTTGAGCAGTGTATATATAGATTCAGCTTGCAGGGCTGTCCAGCTCACAGAACCAGGTTGGATTGGCTTACCTACAATTTTGGAAATTATCATAGCTCCAAACCTTGACAACCAAGGACCCTAGTCAATATATCTCGAAAGATTTAATATTCTTGCCTAGCTCCATCGGGCCAGCCAGGTGCTCAGTGCCTCTACATTTTAGAAAAGGGGAGCAAGAGAGAAGGAATTGGATCTGATCAGATATTTGATTGAAGAGACTCCCTTGCAAGAAAACAGCTGCCTGTGTCCAGAATTAAATTCAAACCCATGTAAAATGGAAACTTTTTGCAGTCCAGCGGAGGTTAGGGACATAAAAAATGGGATACTTACGCATCGTAGAATGTTCTGCTTGAGAATTACATTCTCCGGTTCTGGTTTTTCATTCCTGCTGACAGATTCCTTACCACGAGAGACTTCTAGGAGCAGAGAAATCATTTGTACCCTAAGCGTGACCATTGTTAATGCATATCTTGGCTTGAGAAAATGACCTGTCGCCTCGTTCTCGCAGGTGGCCCATTTGGAGCGGACAGGACATTACCTGACAGTGAAAGATAACCAGGTCGTGCAGCTGCATCCCTCAACGGTCCTTGATCACAAACCAGAATGGGTGCTCTACAATGAATTTGTTCTTACCACAAAGAACTATATTCGCACTTGTACAGATATCAAGCCAGAATGGTAAGCCTGTTTTTCTTCAAAGCTGGGTTTTGTTTTGTTTTTTAAACACAATCCCCAGTTTACAGGGAAGTGCCTACATTTTGGTGAAAGTTGGGGTGGTAGTGGTTTTTTTTAGGCACTTGAAAACTACATTCTATTTAAAACTTTAGGAAACTTGGAAGAGGAGTGAAAATTTGCCTGATCTCAAAGTTGTTTTTTCCTTTGATTCAAACGGCGGCAATGTGGCTAAAGCCACTGGGGATGACGGATCACCTGAATGCTGCAAAGAGAAATGGGTGTCATGCCCCTGTCGGAATCTGATTCGGAGAGTGATGCCGAGCAGCTGACAGGGAGTGGGAGTGTGGCTCCGTTGGCTGGGGAAGAAACTGGGGAAGGGTAAAGTCCGGCTGGACAGAGCAGGAAAGGGGTAGAGCAAGGGAGAGGGAATTCGGAGGAAGATCCAGGCCCACCCCCCCTTCATCCTAGGACATGCAGGGAAGAATGGAGAAGTAATGTGGGTTGGGTGGCTTACGGGGGAGGAAAGGGCCCTGATTCCCTTCATTAGCTGCAGCTTGGAACACAGTGTTTAAAAAGGGAAGATGCGCACAGCAAGTTGTTGGGAGCAAATCATGAATTATCTGGTATCGTTGAGGCTTATTTGGGTTCCTGGCATCTTCCCAACTCTGTGTGTTTTGCTGGGCTTTCAAGTCTGCAATTCCTTCTAACCTGGACATTGGGGGCAAAGTTGGAGGTACTAAAGTGACTCTTCTTACTTATGTGACTGTTGCCTTTGTGCCATGCCCCTTTGGGTCATCACAATGGGGTTCTGCTTTCTTTGTAAGCAGAGAAAATAAAATTTAAAACACCAGCTGTTATGAATAGCCAAGTTTTCAAAGAGCGCTGTTTTCAGTAACGTTTGGGTTCTGAAACGGGATTTTAAGAAGCAAAAGAATTCGGCTGAGGTCTAAAAGCCGAAAATGGCAGTGATAATAATTGTATTTTGTTATTTGGAGCTCAAAGATTTTATGGCCATTTTCCTTCAGAACTACTGATTTCCTGATCTCGTCTGATTTTTCTTCCTTAGATCAGGGGTGTCAAACTGGATATCTTCGAGGGCTGGATCAGCATTGTAGTTTTCCAGGGGGGAACAGGGATGGGGTGGTGGTGGAGATGGGACAGACGTTTCCTGCAGCACTCTGTTGTCCAAAACGGGGCGTGGTGGGTGATGGTGGCACATGCCCCGTTTTCAACTTGAATGGCCTCCTGCAGCACTCTGCTGGCCAAAAATGGGCTGTGCTCCACCGGACAAAGTTGTAATTAAGGAAAATTTGGGACTGTGCTGAAATGGATAGATTAACTTTAAAATTTAAAGGCAAAGATTTGTCAGGATTCTGGCAGTTACCCCCTATTCAAATCATGAGTCTCGAGCCAAACTTCCAAAACTTGAAAAAAGATTTATTGGGAGTTAACATGTCCGGCACTGCCTCGGTGTAGCCGACTCTGAGACACATAATTCATTATCACCCTTGATCCTGGTTTTCCCCCACCCCCTGGGTGTATCATAATTCATATTCTCCAATGGGACACATCCATTGCCAAGAGTCATCAATCAGGCTCTCCAGTTAGATATTTGTGGGGCAGAAATTTCAGTCACCTAGTTATTATCTTTGAAAACATTTATGGAATGCACTTTTGGTTTTGCAAGCTGCTGCATTGCTCCCCTTCCTTTCTGTTGGCAGCTCTAAAAAGACCATAGAAATATTTTATGAGTTTACAGCTAATGGACATGGAATAAATTTTATGAATGGATAGAGAAAAGACATAGAAATTTGAGAAAGTAAGATTGTGATGGTTAATATTATGTGTATTGAAAATAAAGAGGTAGATAAATATAAAAGTAGGCTTTGATAAAAATGTATCTAGCGAAAGAAGAAAACTAGGTCAGCTTTTTTGGTTACGTTATTAGTATTGTTATTATACCGTTACTATTCCTAATGATTTGTATGTTGAGATTTATTACCAATGTATGTTGATCAGGTTCTATTTGTAAATAATGCTCTGTCAATGCACTCTTACTCAAAAATGTTTATAAATAAAAATGAATAAAAATAAAATTTAAAAAGAAAACGGGCCACAACGGGGTCTCCGCGTAGCCCGTTTTTGGCCTCCAGGGTGCTGCTGGAGGCCAGGGATGCTGAAAACGGGCTGCACGAGAGCTGTTGCTATTGGCCGTGTTCCATTTGGCTGTTTTGCTTACCTGACAGACTCTTCCCTTTTCTTTGGCAGGCTGGTGAAAATTGCTCCCCAATATTACGACATGAGCAACTTCCCTCAGTGCGAAGCAAAGAGGCAGCTGGACCGCATCATCGTCAAACTTCAGTCCAAGGAATATTCCCAGTACTGATTTTGCCTTTTTTTTTGAGTCGAACTTGCTCAGAGAACAGCTGAAAAACGATAAGACGGGATTTTCTTCAGTTCCAGATTGTGCTCTTTGCCTTTGATTCGGGAGCTTTTTAATTTTTCCTTTACAGTAAATATTCCATTTTGATTTCATACATTAAAAAAAAGATGTATGCCTCTTTTTATTGTGTTCACACTGTAACTCATACGACGGAGGCAAACGCTGATCAATGTTTTGCAGTTTATTAAAAAATAGTTTCTCTCTCTCTATAACAATGTTGTAAGCATTGCTTTAGAAATGGTTGAAAAAAAAATGCTTCTGAAATGTGATTATCAACCATGGCATGCATGATCGTTGTAATTGTTGACATTCCTTTTAGAAGTTGTGAAATGTTACAACGTGCTTATGTAGACGCGACCTTCAGCTTCACTACAGAAGTGTACTGACTTCAATAAAGTCTATTTATACTAAAATCTTGGCAGTTTATTGCTCCTGCTCCCTTAATCGAGAAATAACGGTGGACTAAGTTAACCTGATGTATTAATTGGATTGCCTGCTCTACAGCATTTCTGCTCATGTGTTCAGATGTTTGGATAATGTTGGGTAAAGATTAGACTGACATGGTAAATTAATGACTATTCAGGACCGTATTATAGGCAACATATCGCGTTTTTTTTTTTTTTTTTTTGAAAAAAAAAAGTAGATACCCATCTTCATGTATACTGAATGGAGAAACCTATAGCCGAGAAAATGCATGTGTCAACTAAAAAGATACTCTTTTGGTCTTTTTAGCTGCCAGCAGCAAGGGAGTGGGGGAAAGCAGTGCATTCCTTAAGTGCCTAGATAATCGCCCTGGCAGCCCAAAGTTGTTGGAGCGCAAGAATATTACTGGAGAGCATGATTGATGACTCTTGGCTATGGATGTGTCCCATTGGAGAATATACATCTGTAAAAATAAGAATGCTTTTAACTTTTCTTCCTTCTTTTTCTTTCTTTTTTCTTTCTTTTCAATCTTTTCTTTCTTCTTTTTTTCTCCCTCGTTTATTTGTGTGTGTATTGTTGGCCACTTCTAATAAATCAATTTTCTTTTCTCTGAGATGCAGTTAAAGACATGATTTGAATGGGGGTGGATTTGTAGGAGTCCTGACAGCATGTTTCAAAATCCATTGTAAGACAGAGTACCTTTTTTATTTTATTTTAAACTGTTATCACGGAAAGCTCAAACTCATCCTGGTTTAATCAAACACTTCTGTATAATAATACCAGGAGAATCCCATTAGTTCATTCTACAGGTCATTCTCGACTTTACCGCAGTTCATTTAGTGGCCGTTCAAAGTTACAGAGGCACTGAAAAATGTGACTTACGACCGTTTTTCATAGTTACAACCTTCGAAGCATCCCCATGATCGAAATTCAGGTGCTTGGCAACTGACTCCCTATTTATGACCTTTGCTGTGTGTCCCAGTCTGTGGGGAAGCCAGATTCACTTCATAACCGGGCTACTAACTTTGTATCAACTGCAGTGATTCATTTAACAGTGGCGAGAAAAGCCATAAAGTGGGGGTAAAGCTCACTGGAAAAAATGTCTCACTTAATGACAGAAACTTTGGGCTCAATTGTGGTCATACGTCGAGTCTCATCCAGCAAATATTTAATTTTGCAGAGAGGCCATTTCATAAAAACACACACAAAAAATGAGTGTTTTTCCGGGAATTGTGAAGGGGTTTAGGATAGCTCCCTCCATTGTACACACTTTTTGTCTACCAGGTTGTTACAAGCGGTTCCTTCCCAGGGCCCTTGAGATATCATATATCTTGCTGAATTTTGCAATAGAAAGCAATCTTCCTAAGAGTTTTTATGTGTTTGCTTTGCAAAGAGTTCCCCCCCACCTTTTCTATTTTCAAATGAGACCAGTTTGGACTACACTGATCTATATTGTTTATTTCCATTATTTTATACACAGAGATAGAGATATTTGCCTACATTTTTTTTGGAGGTGACTTTTGTCTATGCTGGTTTACCACTGAAAATTATCTTGCTCAGAAATAACCAATAAACCATTTTAGGCATTTGCTCTCATTAGACTTCATGCTAAAAAAAACTACTATTTCTGTCTGCTTCAGCCACATTTCTGGCCAACCAATCATATTTTTTAGCTGAGTTGATAATTTCTCACTTTACACTGATACATGGACATTATCATTTTCCATGGAAACTTAAACCACTTTCTTTCAATATTCACGTAGTCTGAAGTGCCACGACTTTTAAGTTTCTTTAAAAGCAAAACAATGACAACAAAAATACCAGCCTTTGGATGTTAAAGTATTTTCTGGCATGTTAAAATCTCGTGCCAAACTTAATACATTTACCCTAGTTATTTTTAGATTGTTGTCACAAAGCCTAATGAGGAAGGTTTAATGGAATTGTCTAGGACTATCTTAGTCAGCAACTATGATCTAACGAAATATTTTTGCCAGTGCTGGGAATTCTTTTGTAGAAAAGAAAAATAAAAGTGTGAAGGAAAAGGATTCAGCCCCTATTTTTCTAACCCACTGATTACCAACATTCTTACTACAGCTAGTCCTTGTTTAGCGATGGTTTGCAATTACAATGGTGATGGAAAAAGTAACTTGACACCAAGCCCTTGTGTGTACAAACTTCGTAGGCCTGTAAAGCAAAGGAAAGCTGAAATAAAGTCATTGTGTCACTCAGCAGCCACTTGACTTAACAATGGAGACGTCCTCCCCAATAGTGCTCAGTAAAGTTGTCGGTGATGTTAGGAGAAATTTCCACTGCTGTAACTTTTGATTTTAATATTGTAGGAAAACATAATTAAATGTTAATGTGCCCCATTAAGTAGAGTTGGGGATTTGGGAAAATAACTTCGTTTTCATAACTGTAATTCTCTATATGAAAAACAAGTGCAGTGTCTATGGAGATTCTCCGTCATTCAAGTCATGGTTGTCCCAAAGGTGCTTTTGTTTTTTTTTCCAAGAAGCAACTGGGCTTTCTAGTTTTGCTTTGAAGATGTTGTTCAGGCCACCTGGAGGTTTATCTGTGCCCATCAGTGTCACTTGAGTGGTGCAAATGGGCGTGGAGAGCGGTGACTTCAAGTTATAATAAATTTAATGCATGTGCTCTAAATAGCAAATGCCTTTCCATCTTCCCCCAGTCAATAAAACATTCCACAGAATTCTGCATGATGTTGCAAAATATATCTCGCCGATTTTTTTTATCATCCCTTAAAAGTTGAATAATTACAACCTCCTAATAAAACAACTTGTCCCAAGATTTCAAAAGCCCACCCACAGCCTGTCCCTTCTCTGTAATTTTTAATTTTACACTGAAAACTTCATACCGTGTTTCCCTGAAAATTGCCAGCTGCAGAAGAAATGGCCCGGCAAGGCAGGTGTCGGGGTGTGCAAAGCCTGGCTACAACTGTCCAAAGGTAAGTAGTAGGGCAGCTCCATCCCTACATCCCCACCCTAGCTTAATTTTTACCTGTGCACTCTGGAGTGGGTGGGATCTTAATTAGGGCTTCTTTGGGGTAGGGCTTATATTGGGCACATGTGTACAAATCAAACTAGGACTTACTTTCAGGGTAGGCTATATTTTTGGAGAAAATGTATTATGCTAATGCTTAAATGTCTTTACAAATGAAGTACAATTTATTGGCGAGGCTTCTGTAAAAATAAGCTATATGCTCCAAATCCAGGTAAACTCAATATTATTGCCATCCTCAGCAAACTGTCATTTCTGAGTGGTAAGACAATCTTTCCCGACCAATAAAGGGACGTTCGTGTTAGTGCAAACTTGAAATTTGAAACATAGCTGAACTGGAGTTAAACTGACATTCTGGAATAAAAGGCAGTGTTACAAATACTTGCAAAACTGATCTTGCTGGCATCCGTTGAGGATTAGTTTAATAATAAAGTTTGAAAGTCTCCTTTGAGATGAGCTTGACCCCCTCTGACTGAGGTGATAAAAGTTACGGTGTTTCCTTGGCACAAATGCAGAACGATTTGCTGCTGCCAACTCCTGGGAGGTTTTTTTTGTTTTTTGTTTTACTTTCTAGATTACAGTCCTAAAATTTTCTGGTAGACTTCCTTTCCAAGTATTAATCAGGCCTGAGTTTCCAAGCTCGAACAAGGTCAGTCAGATACTGTTATTGGCAGGAAATCATTCTAATTCATTAGGTAGGTAATATTTGTATGAATTTCTGACACCTCATGAATGTTCACAAATCACATTTCTATTTTTCAAGATGAAGTGAGAGCTTATAGGTACTTTTATTAGCCTCTCTTGAGATGTTTATGGAGTTGTCAATATTTTTTCACTCTCCTAAAGCAGTTACTAGTAAAGCATGAATCCAAAGGTGGGGGCGGGGAGAGTTGAATCTCAAAAAAACATCCAGGGTATTTTGAGAAAAGCTAGATTAAATAAAATTTGCTCTTTCCTTGGGAAAGATGTAGAATTAACCTAAGCTACATTGAAGAATCCATTCGTTGATGTTGGATTTTTAAAAACAAACCAACAAACCAACTTTATTAAAGGAAACAAGGGGAATTTATATTCCTAAAATTAAATTAGAAGGTATACTTTTTCTATCCTTGAAAACTTTCACTGCCATGTAACAAACCCAGGGGAAAACCACGACCTGTGTGATTTTGATCTTCGTAGGTATAGATATATCCTAGCATCTGAATCTCTTTTCCAAGGCCTTCATGGCTACTCTATCTAAAGTATTAGTCTGAAAAATCTTTCTTGAGTTGATTCTAATAGAAGCTATCTACCAGAACCATCTCCAATCTTGGCAAGCGTGCCAGCCTGGTGGGGTGGGGGAGGTGAACAGGGCCACACAAGTTAGCAGGTCAATTTGCACATAGCATTTGCATGAGTTCTGACCGGCCACGCGCGCGGCCTGGTTGCGAAAAGGCCATGACTCGGCAGTGGACCATGGCCTGGAGTGTCTGCCTTGGAAGCCATATTTGACTTGGAAACTTTGAGGCCGTCACATTCAGTGCCTGGGAATTTGGGAGGGGGGAATTCGTAGAGAGGTGGAAGATTTAGACACAACATCCTTTCTCAGAGAGTCAAGGACATGTTGCCCTGCACCTGGAGGGGAGCGATTGGAGGGATGTCTCCAGTTGGGATGAAGATTTGATTGGGCCATGTGGTGGACAGATGGACGCAGGGGATGGTCTTTGAATTTCTATTGAGAAGAGAAAATCTGGAACTCTCAGATTTGGGTTTTCCCAGGTGTGCCAATATGACAACTCTAATAAAATGGACCTTTGAGGAAATGCTTGTCTTGGAGTTTATCGGTTTGGAGTTGGTTAGTTGGAATGCTGACACGGGGATTAAGAACCCCTGTAATCCGGGGGTGTCCAACTCAATTTCATTGAGGGCTGCATCAGGGCTGTGGTTGATCTCAGGGAGTGTGGCAGGCATGGCTGACTGGGGGGGGGGGGCA